TCAGGTTGCGGGGCTGTCTGTAGGCAAGGACTGGCCTGTCTCCCAAGATTTGTGATTATCATAGTGACAAAGACTGGACACTTTTACTGAAAAATGGAAGTTAGTCTTGTGCACTTGACTGTGACTCAGGAGATCTTGGTGATGACACAGATTTCCAGTATGATCACGTCTCTGTTCCTCAGTTTCTCTAATAATAATAATAAAAGGAATAATTCCTTTTTCATCCTTTGTCTTGTCTATTTAGATTGTCTAAATCTAAATTTAGACAGTTTCTTTTGGATATGTACAATGATTAGCAAAATGGCAGTGCCCTGATCTTACACAGAATACTTTTCAACAAAAATTCTATTCCACCATTTGCCTATCTGCATTCAAAGCCTCCCTCTGTCCTTAGAATCAAATGTTCAGGATACACTGTGCAGTGCAGAGTGAGAATAGGGTATATCCAAGTGGTTCCAATAGGGGTTTCTAAATTCTGAATTATATGGAGTCTTTTAAAACCTGAACTCTTCCAGAAAGTTCTAAGTATTGTCAGCAGCACATCGGTGGGTCCTGTAACTGCCAAGAGCCCCATGGAGTATGCTGGTGGTGTTCATAACATCAGTGAAATTTGAAAAGTGAGCTTCATAGTGATTCCAATGTTTTTACTGGCAAATCCTGGAGCTTTCTTGAGGCCTCAGATAAGACTCTGTTCACACAGGTAACAACATCCAGTCCCCCAAGAACCAGAACCATAGATGTTACAAATTCTGTCACCTATTGAGATCCAGGATTAAATAAGCTCTACTTGGCAGCCTCCTCAGTGCACTCCTCATGTCTTATGACACAAACTGAGGGACTCCAATTCAACCAGTGCATCTTCCATTTCTCTGCCTACTCAATTTGGGTCCTGCATGTTGCACAAGCAGTACAGAGTAATTCACTGCCTTCTGACCAGTTTGAATGAGATTTGGAATTACTTCCCAGTGTCTACAGGAAGTCTGTGGCAAAGACCAGAATAGAATCCAGGTCTTCTGAGTTGCAGCGCAGTGCATTGAACTCAAAACTAACAACTTTCTTTCTTTCTTTCCTTCGAGGCAGCTGATGTGGTCTTCAACTTATATGTAGAGATGGAAAGGGGCAAAGTTAAGGTTGGGTTTCTTAACTGCAAATGTCATGAGTTTCTAACATCCAGAATATTTTGTTTGTTTCAAACAGAAGTGTTGTTTATTTTACTAAGGGGTGGAGGCATTGCAGCATAAAAAGGGATATACCTATATGCCTAAATTTTCGCAATAAATGATTTCATAAAATCAAAAGAGAGGTTGTGGACACCCAGATAGCCTTTCTGGAAGCCAGCATTATCAGGTTCACTTTCCTGATGATTGTCTTTGGTTTGCTGATAGTGAGATTTCTTTGCATGTTCCTTCCTCCATTAGTCAGGTGCATTAGTGAAATTCACAAACTACTTCAAGTATTTTAGTGTTGGGGGTGGGTTTTTTTTTTCCTTTTTTTTTTTCCTAAGAGCTACTATGAGTAGTAATGACCATCCTGCTTCTCCTCCTAACCCTCTACTCTCCATCTGCACTATATAGTTTTCTAATCTAAATGCCAGGTCAATAGACTATATCTTCAGAAAATATATTTACACTTGTTTGCCCTTCTCATCCATCACATGCCAGTAAAATCGCAGATGTCTACTGTTTAAACAAGGAAAACCTGACTACACAATACTGTTTGTAAGAGGTTTTTCTATTCTTAGCTTTTCTCCCCTTCCCTCTCCTAGCTAGAAGGAATGTTTTAGATTATTTCCCCCACTCTATATTGCTGAAATGACAAAATCCCATACGCACGCTGCTGCTTTGCTTCTGGCTCATGGATATATTCCACACAGGACATTCTCTCCTATCCCTTGACTGCAATTCAGCCCTTCACAGAAATATATATATGTAACCTGGAAAGGACATGAACCATTCAACAACAAAATCTCTTCCTCTTTTTATTAATATAGGGTCTGAGAAAGAAAACCTTTAGATCCTCATTTTACTGTGTGGGATTCTGACTTTGGTGCAAAGATACTAAACTTGTCAAGGCTAGCCTTCTGCTTTGTTAGCATTTAAAACATGCCATACTTCTTCCTCTACTCAAAGTGGAAGATCAAAGGTTTATTTATACAGCACAATTAACAAATTATTCAAGCTACCTGCTGTTGCATTAATTTTAAACATCATAGAAAGAAACAAAATGGGGAAAGTGATAAACTGAAGCTCAGTAGACAACAAGTCTTTCCATTTGGGAATAACAGCTCTTTCTACCAAATGGCTATTAAAATCTAGACAATTTGATTGCAGTGGAAGGGGAGGGACAAAAAAAAATACCTCAAGGGGTAGAGAGAAAAGGGGTCTGTCCCTTGTCTCTCCCCACAATATATTTTTACCTTGTTTAGCTCAAGCAAGAGTCTGACAGGGTGCTATCAGCAGCACCCTGATCACTGATATTGCTGCAGCCTGGGGAAGACTGCTGGCTCAGCTGAGGGCAATTATACACTTTCTGTTGGGGGACTGTGAGCATGGGGTGACAATCCCTGGGCTAATGAGATAATTGGGAGAATATCAGGGGAGGAAACAAGGAAGCAAGGGCAGCTCAGAGGGTGAGCCTGTGCTGAGGAGAGAGAGCTGTGGGGAAGCCTACCCTTGCTGTAAACCTGCATTGCACAGTATTAGTGCATAAGAGAAGAATCAGTACACACCTTGGTGAAAGATAAATAGCCTGGTGTGTGGTTGTGATTGTGATACCACCTGACTAGGCAGCGTGGTTCACTGGGTTACAACGGAGCTGCCCTGTGACAAGGAAAGACCTGTGCTTTTACTGCTATAGATACCACTGTTGATATGTATGCTGCCACAGTACATTACCCAAGTATAAAAGAAGGTTCATGAAACATTTATAATATAAACAAATAATTGGTTTTAGATAAGTCACTCAAAAAAGTGCTCTGGAAATGAAAGACCTTCTCATCCTTAACTATAGCGGTTTGACATCAATAAGAAATGTTTCTCATATCAAAAAAGCCACTCTGTAAAACAGTCATGTTAGAAATTACTAAATTAAGCAATACTTAGAGATGACAACAGTTTGTAAGAACTTGTTCTTACAAATTGTATCGTATTCCAACTACAGCATCACTCTGCAAATAAGATTATGCAACACTTTTACGAGAATAACTGTGCTGACACCTCTGCTATGCTTTTAATTATGCCCAATGAGAATCAGATGTTTTCAGAATCCTGAGCAGTCTCAATCTGAGGTGCCAGCTCATGCAGTTCATAAAAATGCGTGAGCCTTCTCCCAAAGAAGGCCAATTTACGACCTAGTAAATATTATATGATATCAGAAGTTATAGTTTAAAAAAGGTGGAGCTTTTTTTTATATATTTTTTTCCTGGACTAACACTCCATTGTGCATCAATATCCTGTTTAATGGCTACATCTGCCATTTATCTTTAGCTGTATTTTTCAAGGTGAAGAAGTTTGCTGTACAGTGAGTGTATCTACAAGGAGATCTGTTCAAAACCTTGCTGTTCTCCAAGATTAGGTTGGACTTTGTAACTGTAAAATATACCTCTGAAAAATGATTTTTGTCTCTTTGTATTTGATATTTCATGGCTTCACGTTCACCACCATCCATCCATCCATCAAATAGGAATCTGACTTTCAGAAAGCTTTTTATTTCTGTTTTGATTACGATTGCTATTTCCTTCAGCTGTACTTTTCCCCTTCTGAAATGATGCCTCATGGAATTGCTGCTTGCTGGATCACCTGGAGCCCCTGGCTGTATTTTACTGCCTCTACCTATGTATATGGTTCAGATTAAGGTTAACTCATGCTCTCTGCAGCAGTCAGTGTCTCAATCTGTTAATTTTATTATTCCATATGCTTTTCTGTCTGTTCATTAATGAGTCAAAATGACCCAAATTCACATCTTTGAGCATTGCCAGTCACATATATTTGCCCTTTTATTACAAATAACAAAAATCTCTCAAAAGCAATATTTTTCTAGAGATATAGTAAATCTCAATGTTTTCCATAGTCCTTGCAAAATCATATCACCTTCCTCCTCCTCTGTACAAGCATTGTGTACTTGCACTACTAATGGAAGTGACCCGTGAAGAAAGTCATTGACAGTATTTTAGGTGCTTTCTCTGAAGCCTTTCTAGCAATGAGAACAGTTACCAACTTGTTGCTTAAACAGATGAAGTGAACTGTAGCTCAGGAAAGCTTATGCTCAAATAAATTGGTTAGTCTCTAAGGTGCCACAAGTACTTCTTTTCTTTTTGCAAATACAGACTAACACAGCTGTCACTCTGAAACCTGTAATTATCCAATATATTACAGTACCTATTTTAGAGTTTGTGTTGCTGTCCATCACCATAGTATGCGAGCACATGCCACCCCAAATTCATAGCAATAACAAAATCTCTAGAGGACTTCCTGGATTCACTGGCTCTTTTAAAGATCATAATCAGGACTGCAATCCCAGGGTGTTAGGTGTTGTACAAACAAAAAGCGGTAGAATGAGAGAGGGAGAGAGTCTTTCCCCCAAAGGCTTACAATTTGAGGCCTTGGCAAATGGTTCGGAAGGGGGTAGGACTGAGGAGCCCACACTGGCTGTCCTGTGGGGCAGGCTCTTGGGGGTCAAGACGGGTGGGAGGCCAGGGACAGGCAATCCAAGGAGACTGGCTTATACTGGGCCTTCAAGGTCCGAGGTCACACAGGCCACAAAAGCACGTATTAACATATATTTGCATACCTCTGGGGCAGCTGCAGTGGAGCTGGCTGCTTTATAATAATTAGGCATGCTCGGCAGGTGTCCCCGGCGCATAGACCCGCCCCATTCCCTCATCTCTCTCGGGGCGGGGCAGAGCCCTGCCCCACGTTTCCCTCTCCGCTTCACCGGCCCCTCTCCCGTCCCCTGCCCACGAGGCGCAGGAGGGGCGGGTCTCAGCGGCCGCTCTCCGCTTCCTCCCAGACCAGCCCGTCGCGGGGCGGTGGAGCCAGAAGGGAGACGGACAGCGGGGTGCCCGCGCTGCGCTGCTCCACGGACCCGGACCCGGACCCGGACCTGAAGGTGAGGGGGTGACAGGGGAGCCGACTGCCCTGCCCCGCCCCGCCCCCGGCGCTGCCAGAGGGGATTTTCCCGCCCTCCGGGGCAAGTGGGGGGAGCCGCCCCCCATGGTGCTCGGGGCGGGGTCCTGCTCGCCCCAGGGGCGGCTGCAGGGGGCCGGTGCCCCATGCGGGTGATGGCGATGGCGCGGCTTGCCCCCTCCCCAGCAATCGACAGCTTTCACTTTCGTTTCTTCTGCGCCTGAAAGGGATGCGGGTGACGGCGCCAGCGACCCTTGTCGTCTCTGTAAACCCGGCTTCTAGCTTCCGGACCCGGCTTGTCCGTGGACTGAGGTCTGTATGTCTGCTTCCCCCCTCTGCATGGATGGGTACTGCTTCTCTGAGCAAAATGGAACCCTGGAGAGAAAGAGAGAGCGATGCATTGCCACAAACCCCCTCCTTCAGTAACAGAGTTTTTCTCAAAGGAGTCTAGTTAGTGACTAGATGCTTGTGGGACTCCTTTTCTTCCATACACATGGTTAGAGGGATTTCCCTTCACCCTCCCACTTCCCTGGTTCTTGTCACGCAGACAATAAGCAGCAAGAGACCAGAAGTCCGAAGCGCAGACAATGCCATGTTTATTGGGGTTAGTTTCCAAGCAAGCGTATTCCGAAGCCCTTCAAACCGGTTGGGCTTATCTCTATATTCTGATAGTCTGTTCCCCAGTGTCCCCCTTCCCAGCTCTGACGCAGCAGAGCATTTACCTAGTGTCCCCTTATCAAACATGATTCCAACTTCCCTTCCCCCCACTTCCTGTTTGACCCCAGTTTATGTAGCAATAGTCTCAGCTATACCTTAACCAGTCGTTTTAATGAAATGTAACTAACCAGTCCTAACATATTGTAACATAATTCGCTAACCAGTTATATCCCACTACCTTAATTAACTTGCACCTAGCAAAATTCATTATACAGCAGACAGAAACAATTAGAGAACCAGACAGATTTACAATAGAAAGTTGAGGCCGTAAAGAGAAAACAGTACAGAAATGAGGGTTTCACAACCAACCAATGATAAATGATTTCTTGCCAGACAGGATGCCATCAAACTAAGTTTTCTCTTACCATCTTTATCTGGTGGTGATAGGCACTATCGGGACAGGATTGTATTTCTAACAGCCCAGTACCACCTTATTTCAATGTGATTGGTTTAGAATGTGAGGATGTGACTTTAGGCTTGATCTGTTTGCTTTGCCAGAAAGAAGACTGAGAGGTGAGTCATAATAAGTACCTTAACCAGGGAAAATAGCAGGTACTACAGGGCTCTTTCATTTAGGAAAGAAAGGCATAAATGGAAGCAATCTCTGGATGTTAACAACAAAAACTTCAAATTAAAAATGAGGCAAATATTTTTAACATTGAGAGAAATTAACTGTTGGAACAAACTACCAAGGAAAGCAGTGGAGTCTCCCCCTCTTGAGGTCTTCAGGATGCTTATCTGAAAGATAGGTTTCAGAGTGGTAGCCGTGTTAGTCTGTATCAGCAAAAAGATCGATGAGTACTTGTGGCATCTCTGAGGCTAACAAATTTATTTGAGCGTAAGCTTTCGTGGGCTAAAGCCCACTTCATCAGATGCATGCAGTGGAAAATACAGTAGGAAGATATATATATACAGAGAATATGAAAAAATGGGGGTTGCCATACCAACTCAAACGAGAATAATGGATTAAGGTGGGCTAGTAACAGCAGGAGAAAAAAAACATTTGTAGTCATAATCAGGATGGCCCATTTCATACTGTTGAAAAGAAGATGTGAGTAACAGTAGGGGGGAAATTAGCACAGGGAAATAGTTTTTAGTTTGTGTAAAGACTTATCCACTCCCAGTCTTTATTCAAGCCTAATTTAATGGTGTCCAGTTTGCAAATTAATTCCAGTTCTGCAGTTTCTCATTGGAGTCTGTTTTTGAAGGTTTTTTTTGAAGAATTGCGACTTTTAGGTCTGTAATTGAGTGTCCAGGGAGGCTGAAGTGTTCTCTGACTGGTTTTTGAATGTTATAATTCTTGACGTCTGATTTGTGTCCATTTATTCTTTTGCGTAGAGACTGTCTGGTTTGGCCAATGTACATGGCAGAGGGACATTGCTGGCACATGCTGGCATATATCCCATTGGTAGATGTGCAGGTGAATGAGCCTCTGATAGTGTGGCTGATGTGATTAAGTCCTATGATGGTGTCCCTTGAATAGATATGTGGACACAGTTGGCAACGGGCTTTGTTGCAAGGATAGGTTCCTGGGTTAGTGGTGCGTGGTTGCTGGTGAGTGTTTGCTTCAGGTTGGGGGGTTGTCTGTAAGCAAGGACTTGCCTGTCTCCCAAGATCTGTGAGAGTGAGGGATCGTCCTTCAGGATAGGTTGTAGATCCTTGATGAAGCGCTGGAGAGGTTTTAGTTGGGGGCTGAAGGCGACGGCTAGTGGCGTTCTGTTACTTTCTTTGTTGGGCCTTATTAACAAGGTTATTTTAGGGGGGGGGTCACAGTATTGCCACCCTTACTTTTGCGCTACCTTCAGAGCCGGGGGGGGCTGGAGAGCGGCGGCTGTTGGCCAGGTGCCCAGCTCTGAAGGCAGTGCCCCGCCAGCAGCAGTGCAGAAGTAAGGGTGGCAATGCTGTACCATGCCATCTTTCTGTGCTGTTGCTCGCAGCAGCTCTGCCTTCAGAGTTGGGATCCCAGCCAGCTGACACCACGCTCCAGCTGCCCTGCTCTGAAGGCAGGGCCACCAGCAGCAGCAGTGCAGAAGTAAGGGTAGCAGTACCGCAACCCCCGCTACAATAACCTTGCAACCCCCTCCCACAACTCCATGTTCGGTCGGGACCCCTACAATTACAGCACTGTGAAATTTCAGATTTAAATAGCTGAAATCATGACATTTACAATTTTTAAAATCCTATGACTGTGAAATTGACCAAAATGGACTGTGAATTTGGTAGGGCCCTAATTATAGGGATAACAGGAACATGGTGGAATAGCAGTCATGACTGGAGTATGAGATTGAAGGGCATGTGCTGTTCAGGAAAAGCAGAAATAAAGATAAAGGTAGTGGAATAGCATTGTATATTAATGATGAGGTAGACTGTAAAGGAATTAGAAGTGATGGAATGGATAAAACAGAGTCTGTCTGGGTCAAAATCACTTTGGGGAAGAAAGCTGCCAGAGTTTCCCCTAGGATAGTGCTTGGTGTACCTTATAGACCCCAGAATCTGATTTGGATATGCATGAAGACCTCTTTAATGTTTTTAATGAAATAAATACTACTGGGAATTGTGTGATTATGGGAGACTTTAACTTTCCAGATTTAGACTGGAGGACAAGTGCTGCTAATAACAGTAGGGCCCAGATTTTCCTGGATGAGATTGCTTCCAGATTTCTTCACCAACTAGTTGCTGAACGAACAAGAGGTGTTGCCATTGTTAGATTTGGTATTGGTGAGTAGTGAGGACCTCATAGAAGAAGTGGTTGTAGGAGAAAACCTTGGTCTGAGTGATTATGAGCTAATTTAGTTTAAAATAAATGGAAAGATAAACAAAAATAGACCTGCAGCTAGGTCCTTGATTTCAAAAGGGCAAACTTTAAAAATTAAGGGAATTAGTTAAGGAAGTGGACTGGACTGAAAAACTCAAGAATCTGAATGTGGAGGAGGCTTGGAATCAACTTCAAGTTAAAGTTGAAGAAATTGTCCAAAGCCTGCATCCTAAGCAAGGGGGGAAAATTGTAGGGAAAGGCTGCAGACCAAGATGGATGAGCAAGCATGTCAAACATATTATTAAGAGAAAGCAGAAAGTCTACAAGGAATGGAAGATGCGGTAGATCAGCAAGGAAAGCTACCTCTTGTAGGTCAGAAAGTGTAGGGGGGAAAAAATGAGAACTGCCAAAAGCCAAGCAGAGTTGGACCTTGAAAAGGAGATTAAAACCAATAGTAAAGGGTTTTATAGTCATATTCATTAAAAGAAAACAAGAAAAGAAGAAGTGGGACTGCTACACACTGAGGATGGGGTCAAGATTAAAGATAATCTAGGCATGGCCCAACACCTAAACAAATACTTTGCCTCAGTTTTCAATCAGGACAATGAGGAGCTTAGGTATAGTGGGAGGGTGGCTAATGGAAATGATAATATGGAAGCAGAGATTACCATATCCAAGGTGAAGGAGGACTTGTGTCACCTTAGAGACTAACAAATTTATTTGAGCATAAGCTTTCGTGAGCTACAGCTCACTTCAACGGATGCATTCAGTGGATTTTCCACTGAATGCATCTGATGAAGTGAGCTGTAGCTCACGAAAGCTTATGCTCAAATAAATTTGTTAGTCTCTAAGGTGACACAAGTCCTCCTTTTCTTTTTGCAGATACAGACTAATACGGCTGCTACTCTGAAACATATCCAAGGTGGAAATCAAACTCAACCAACTTAATGGCAGTAAATGGGGAGGCCTGATAATCTCCATTCAAGAATATTAAAGGAACTGGCACATGAAATTGCAAACCAATAGCAAGGATTTTTAATGAATCTGTAAACTCGGGGGTTGTACCCTAAGAATGGAAAATTGCTAATATAGTACCTATTTTTAAGAGAGGAAAAAAAGTGATTTGGCAAACTACAGGCCTGTTAGTTTGACCTCAATTGTGTGAAAAATCTTGGAACAAATTTTGAAAGAAAAAGTAAGTAAGGACAGAGAGGTAAACAGAAATTGGGGTAAAATATAATATGGCTTTACAAAGGTAGATCATGTCAGACCAACCGATTTCCTTCTTTGAGAAGATAACTGATTTTTTTAGTCAAAAGAAATGCAGTAGATCTGATCTATCTGGATTTCAGTAAGGCATTTGACACAGTTTCAATGAGAAATTATTAGTTAAATTTGAGAAGATTGGGACTAATATGAGAATTGAAAGATAGATAAGTTAAAGGGGAGACTGTAGTGGGTCATACGGAAAGGTCAACTGTCAGACTGAAGGGAAATTACTAGTGGAGTTCCTTAGGGACCAGTCTTGGGACCTATCTTATTTAAGATTTTTATTAATGATCTTGACGCAAAAAGTGGGAGTGTGTTAATAAAATTTGCAGGTCACACAAAGTTGGGAGGTATTGCCAATACAGAGGAGGACTGGAATATCATAGAAGATTATCTGGATGACCTTGAAAACTGGAGTAATAGAAATGGGATGAAATTTAATAGTGCAAGGACACTGACTTAGGAACTAATCACAAGATTTTTTGCTGTAAGATGGGGACTTATCTGTTGGAAGCGACAGAGAACGAAAAAGACTTTGGGTGTATTGGTTGATCACAGGATGACTATGAGC